TCCCATTTCTGAAGAAGGGTCTAGGCCCGAAACATCAGCCTTCCTGCTCCTCTGATGCTGCTTGGCCTGCTGTGTTCATCCAGCTCTACACCTTGTTATCTCTGACCATCAGAACTGATCTGTCTGTCATCAGACTACCAATCAGTTGTGGCTTCAGAGATTTTCAGAGCTGTAAACATTTGGGTATAAGAGGTACCTGGCTCCTCATTATTTTCTACAAATCCTTTAGAATCTGAAAATTTCTGATCCATACCAAGAAATCTTGAAGAGTTTACCTGAACAATCTGATACCCATGCTGCACAATTATTATTTTTCATCCTTGACAGTCACCTAGCCTGGTCTCTCCATTCTTTAAGTCCCCCTCTCTTATATTAAACCATATCTGCCTGCAAGCAGTACATTTAAATGCTCTGAGAAAGTAGTTTTTTCCCAAGTTGGAGGCTGATCACTCATTATTTTTAGTGATTCTTTAGGATTTCTTCCAAACTATGATGTCAACTATGTCCTCCCACTGTCTGCAGCAAACTCTTAACATGTACAGCCCACATTAGCGCAGATGAGAATTTACAGCTTGGCTGATCTGCCAAAAAAATGTTGAACTATTTTTGTCAGTTAACTTCACTATTCCTTTTGCAGACTCCATTGCTCAAAGGGCTTTTGGTTGCTGTGTTTATAATGGTTGTGCTCACATTCACACACATATACCTCTAAATCCATCATTAGAAAACCTACCATTCCCTTCCCCGCTCATCTGTGAGAAATATTGTTGATGATCCAAGTACAGTTCACTTTTCCATTACCTTATCCACCTTTCAATCTTTACATTGACTGACAAAATATGGTTGCCAAATCTACAAAATATTTTTAAAAAATGCTTTTTTTCTTTATCCCATACCTTTAAATCCATGGCTACTACCTCATTTAAGTCTCTTGCTGACGGAGGACTTACTATAGGCTACGATGGTGCCTTTCAATTTTTTGTTTTAACTAATCTCACATCTATCATATCTCTTATCATTTTCCCATTTCTTATTCCTGCTTCCCATGCTAAGCCTTTTATTCTTTCAGGGGATGGATGGGCCAGTCTGCAGTTTTCACAGAATTGGCTTTTTGTCACTGAAAATTTCCACCAATACTACTTCCATTTCTTTCAAGGAGACATTATTATACATTAAATGAATACAATAGCATCCTGATTGTGACAATTACAAATTCACACATTTTCCTGGTCTACCTCATAATGGTGGTATTTATGAGATTAATGTGCTGATATATATTAAATAACTTGCTATTTTACCAGGAATACCCAGACTTTTCAAAACCTTATTGTCTTGTCAGCCCCAAATCTGAGACTGGTGGAACACTCAAATCGTTTAAACTTGTTCAGATCCTTATTATTCAGCCACTGCTGGTATCACATTAACTAGTCTATTCCACACACAGCAGAAATGCATCACTGTCTAAAGCTGCACAGTTGAAAGACTCTGCCTCCAGCACATTCATTACTGGGCTGAAACTTCCTGTGACCAATACAATGCCTTCCCTTTGATCCGTAACTCCATCTTCTTCCTCTGAACCTTCCACTTCAAGTTTGGTTTTAAATACTTTAATGTGTCCTTTGGGACCGTTAATGGCGTAATGGTACCTTGCATTGTGCCTGCAACATTGAGTAACTGCACTCCGAGTATTTCTGGACTTTGTTGACTTATTGTAAATTGCAAAGGCTCTTCTAGAATAGAACATCCTTTATTGTCATATGTACTCCACTGTAGGAGTACAAGTGAAAAGCGTTTGCAATGGCTGCCTCTTGTGGCGCCATCTTAGGTATAAGTACGTAGGTCCTTGGATACAACAGAGGAATAAAAAAGTAGTTTAAAAAACAAGTTAGACATCGTTAAAGGATTGACATTGCAGTAAGGTAGGAAATTTCAAATAGACATTACAGCGTAGCAGCCCACCTCAGGGTCTCCCCACATGGTCTGTCCGTCCGCACCAGACCCCAGTCCAACAGCCATCCCCGCTCCGCACAAAGCTCCAAACCGCTCCGTACCGGCACTCAACCGCTCCAAGGTGAGTTCCAGGACTGCCTCCCCCAACACCGGTCACCGCCCGGGACTATCTGCCTGCGCGCCGGTCCAGGACTCACAGCCCATGCGCTCAAAATTATCAACACATTTCTGTCCTCATTCCTAGTAGTTACAGTTCTCCTTTCATACTGTCAGGGCAATTTGTTAACATCATGTCCTCCGTTTTCTGTCATATTGCCAACTGCCCCTTTTTATGCTATGAACACTGTTGGGACGGAGTAATTTCCAGGAAACTTTATAATGCTTTGAAAGTTGTTCTGGCAGTGTATATTTATCCACTAATTTAACTCCCATCAAAGCTAGGAGTCTGTTCATGCTCGGTAGTTTGGGACAGTCCAATAACTTAAATGCCAGCACACACTGGGGAATTTCCAAATGAAATTTCTGTTGTCTTGCATACAGTCTTCTGAATTTCATTATGTACTCTTTTTGATCAGGTTTATCCGTGAAGGTTAACAATCTGTCCAAAACTTCATCCACGTTTAAATCATGAGCTCCAATTCTTCAAAAAATAACTTTGTTTCTCACCCTGCCTCTGTATGGCAATGGAAGTGCTGAGGCCTCTTTAGTAAAGAAGTAACCCACATCATAACTTCATTCTTCGTAAGGCACATTTTCAGAAATGAGAGCCTGAAACTTTACATTCTGGCTCAACAGTCCTCTGCTCCCAATGGTGAAACCCAAAAGATAACTGTATTTAAACAGAATTCAAGCCAACACTTCCAGTAAGAGCTTTATTTCAGTTAGTCACACTCTGTAAAACACTCACGACTCACTGATTACCAGCTCCCCATATCTATAAAACCAATTCACATCCAATTAACTCACTTGGTATCTCCATCACCTGTTCCCTCGTGGTCTTCAGACCATGTTAAATGGTAGTATCTCATACAGATGGGGATCTATCTATATTGAGGATCCCATACTGATGAGGACCCCCCAATGTTGAAGATCCCATACTGATGATGATCCCTCAGTATTGAGGATTTTATGCTAATGAGGACCCCTCAATATTGGAGATCCCTGAGTAGATCCCGTACTGATGAGGATCCCACTGTATTGAGGATCCCATGCGGATGATAATCTCTCTACATTGAGGATCCCGTACTGATGAAGATCTCTCTTTATTGAGGATCTCATAGTGATGAGAATCTCTCGATATTGGGGGTTCCAAGTGGATGGGGATCCAAAAAATTTGAGCTCGCGTCCCCGTGGTGAAACCTGACTGATGCGGGATTTGTGCTGATAAAGGCTCCTCAGTACTGAGGCTCCTGTACCCCTTGACTGAAAACATTTTTGGTATGATTGGGAGACCACAGTTCGTCCATGAATGGAGTGAGTGACAATGAAGCCCTTATGATTGATGGGAATAATCTGGTAATAATAATGGTTCAATGTTGAATCCTTTATCAATCTGTTAGTCTCTTCCGATTCTGATTTTTGTAATTTCCACTGCGTTTGTCCTGTTTAGTTTACCCAATGGATATGGCATCTAATATAACGTCATCCGAGAAGCTACACTCTCACTCATTGACTGTAACTGAGAAAGACGTCAGGGTCAACCAAAGACGAACCTTGCCCTTAGTCCCCAGTAGAGTGGAAGGCCCAGCATCATCGCTGGCAAAGGACTGCCCTCAGGGAAAGAGCGCCAAACAGAAGTCCTACATGAACCCAACCACCAGCTCGATGGCCAAGATGTCGCGCAGCGTGTCAATGGGAGACAGCCTGAACTTCACAGAGAATGGCGAGGATCAGTCAATCACTGAAAAGACTATGAGCGGGCAGTGCTTGGAAACATCGCCCAGGACTTCACCTCTGGTGACTGTGGACGCCGTGAACGAAATCTCTCACAAGCAGGAGATGACCAAACAGAACGGGAAGGAGGCAGTCAGCTCCAAGCCAGTGTTGCAGCCATCAGGAGGTTTGACGGTTCCTTCTGGCCCGAGCCCTCAGGCTAAATTGAGCCTCGGCACTCGGGCGAACCTATTCCTTGATCTTCCCAAGCCACTGCCGGATAGACCCTCTCTGACTTCGTTCTCGCCGTCGGTCAGGGCGAAGTCTTGCTGTGAGATTGAGCCCTTCAAGTCATCTGTTTTGGCCAACGGAGGAACAAAATGGAAGCCTTCCTTTGGCGATGGCCATAGGGACGGCCAAGAGAAAAAGGCTGAGAGCGTTTCCACGCCCAGACAGGAGACCTCTGCTCCACTGGAACGCCAGTCACTAGGGCAGTGCCACCAGGAGTCACAAATAGGGACAGCTCCTCAATTTCCATGTCAGCAAGCGTCTTCCGTCTGGTTGCATGCTAACTCTGAGTTCAGAGGTACCAGGCTTGTTACCGACCCCTCGGACTCTTTACCCAACATTCCAGTGTCAGGTGTCCAAACGGTGACTGTTTCCGCACCAGCAACAATTCCTTCTGCCTCTCCCAAGACTGCAGCGAAGGAGCCAGGTATGAGCTGGGTTTTAGGCGATCCCACTTCTTCATTTGATCAACGGCTGCTGCAGACCAGGTTTCACATTTTCTGGCTTCGGATGGGTGCCTATTTCTCCTTTTTGTTTCTGTTCTGGGGTGAAAAGAGAGAAAGAACAAGAGGGCTTAGATATAAAGCGATGTGCCGACAAAGCAAGGCTGATGCGAGGAAGCAAAGTACTTTCACACAGCGAGTAGTCCAGGTCTGGAATGCACTGTCCAGAGATTCTAGTGGAGGCAGGGTCAGTTGAGGCATTCAAGGGGGCATTGGATGGATAAAAACAATGTGCAGGGATATGGGCGAAAGGCAGGAGGTGGGTAGTAGAATCCGTGCAGGCTCAATGGGCCGAGTAGCCTCGTTCTGACCCGTTAAAAATCCCGTGATCCTGACTCTTTCATCTTGTAGCTCGTAACTCTGTTCAGGTCATGCAAAATTGAGCGTCCTTGTAATTTTTCTCTCTCACCTTTGCTGGTCTTCCCCGTGTCACTGGATGCAGGTAGTTTTTGAAGAATGGTTCTTGCCCGACCAGCCTCCCTCCAAACCTGCCCCTACCGCCTCCTCCCCCACCCGCCGCCCATCACCCCCCCCCCCCCCCCCCCCCCCCCCACCCACCTCACCCCCACCCAGTAGAGGAAACATTTGGTTTCAAGCACAGAACCTTGAGTGGCATTCAAGGCTGAAACCTTACCCTGTCACTGTGGCACCACGCACCACCACATTCCCTGCAATGTACATACATGCTGCACTCAGTCACAGCAAGTACGAAGCTATGTGGGTCCTTTTATCATGACCAGCTAAGTATTTTGCAATTTAAAGTAATCACTGGGGTGGCTATTTGCTGGGATTCACACTCTCTTACACACGAGAGATTTTGAGAAATGAAAATGCCCAGGACCCTGTGACGCAGGATATGAAACTGTTTAGGAGGAAGATGGTCGTGGTTGTGGGAGGTCAGTCATCTCAGCTCCAAGACATCTCTGCAGGAGTTCCTCAGTTTAGTGTCCTAGGCCCAACCATCTTCATCAATGACCTTCCCTCCACCATAAGGGCACAAGTGGGGATATTCACTGATAAATTACATAAAGTTCAACACCATTCACGGCTCCGCAGATACTGAAGCAGTCAGTGTTCAAATGCAACAAGATCTGGACAATATCCAGGCTTGGGGTGACAAATGACATTCATGCCACACAAATGCCAGGCTATGACCATCACCAATAAGAGACCATCTAACCACCGCCCCTTGACATTCAATGGTGTGACCATCACTGAATCTCCCACTATCAACATCCTGGGGGTTACCATTAACCAGAAACTCAACTGGACTCACCACGTAAACACAGTGACTACAAGAGCAGGTCAGAAGCTGGGAATACTGTGGTCAGTAACTCACCTCCTGACTCCTCAAAGCCGGTCCACCATCTACAAGGCACAAGTCAGGAGTGTGATGGAATACTCCCCACTTGCCTGGATGGGTGCAGCCCCAACAACACTCAATAAGTTTGACACCGTCCAGGACAAAGCTGCCCACTTGATTGGCACCACATTCACAAGCATCCACTCCCTCCACCACCGACACTCAGTAGCAGCAGTGTGTACTATTACAAGATGCAGAAGTTCACCAAAGATCCTCAGACAGCACCTTTCAAACCCACGACCACTTCCATCTAGAAGGACAAGGGCAGCGGATATATGGGAACACCATCACTTGCAAGTCCCCCTCCAAACCACTCACCATCATGACTTGGAAACATATCGGCGTTCTTTCACTGTTGCTGGGTCAAAACCCTGGAATTCTCTCCCTAAGGGCATTGTGGGTCAACCCACAGCAGGTGGACTGCAGCGGTTCAAAAAGGCAGCTCACCACCACCTTCTCAAGGGGCAGCCAGGGACAGGACAAGAAATGCTGGCCAGGCAGCGACACCCATATGCCATGAGTGAATTTAAACGAAAGAGACAGCGTAGGAGTTACAGGTACTTTGGAAAACTTGCATTGGTGGTTAACAGTAATTCCCTTTCTATTCTCTTTTTTTGACAGGTCCCAATGTCAGTGTTCAGAGCTGTAAACTCCTGGCAAGTGAGCTGCAGAACTGCTTAGAGAGAGCCCTGACCCTTTACCGGACTGTGAGTGTTGCTAGCATCATTAACCGTGTCAACCGTGGATCCAGGCGTCAGTTGCATAATGAAACCCCATTGAAAAACAAAACTTTAGTGAGACAGTTCCATCTGTGGCTTACAAGGGAGTTTCAGGGTAGTATTAGATTAAAATAAGAGGCTAACTATGTTACGAAGAATAGAAGCAAACTTGAGGATCGGGACTATTTTAGAAATCGCCACGGGCCCACAAGTTGATGAGAAGGGGGGATAAAAAATACAATGCAAGAGTAAATTTGGGAATTTAGAAACAGATTGTTAGAACAATATAAAAAGGAGGAGAGTAGATAAAGTAAAAGTTGGTCCCCTGCAGCCAGCAACAGGATAAATTGTCGTAGGGAATGAAGAAACAGCAAAGACATTGACTGAATGTTTTGAGTCTGCCGTTGCTGTAGTTTTCTCTTCATATTATTTACTTACTCCGTTATTATTCCTGTCATTACTTCCTATCCATTTCTATTTCAGGTAGTCAACAATAAGGACTCCTCAGACGAGAACTGCCAAATGGCCGCCATTCTCTCAGAGACATTTTCTTTAGTCAGGAAACAATTGGAGTGTCTCCAACATCCAGGACTGGGGCCTGGGTCACCTCTCCTGGGGCCAGGCCTGGTGGCTTGTGCCTCTTGCCCAGCAAAGAGTGACTCCTTTGAGGATGAGAAGACCCTCGCCCTGCTCGAGCAGTATTCTGAACGTTTACTCCAAGCTGTGGAGCGAAGGATGGACCATAAACAGCCGGGAGGGAAGGGAACTTCAGGACTGTGAATTGGGGTACGCGGGGCACAGCACAATCGTGGGGCTCATAAACTCACCTACCCTGCCTCCCGCACTGAGAACCATCAAAAAAAACACCTTCCTGTCAGCAGGGAAGTGGGGTGGGGGAAAGAAAATCGTACAACACTACTGAGTTGACCTCAACTCGCCTCGTATTTAGCGTGGGATGGGTTAAGTTCGACTGTGTAACCGCCCGTCAGAAACCTGTGTCACCCCAACTCCCCGTCTAACATTTTCTTTCTCCGCCTGTATTTTGAAGGCTGTAAGGTAGGGTTGATGGGGATCGTTCCACCTTGGGGTGAGGTGGTCAGTAGAAGCGGTGGCCTGGAGAGTGACAGACAGAGGGTATTGGCTCAGCAGGGTAGAAGTATCTTGGTGATCCGTGGGATGGCAGCATGGAGCGCAGTGGTGGACTATGTGAGCTTCCCAGGAATTATGGTGGAAATAAGCGCTTCATTTTATGGCCCAATCAACTGCAACAGCTTGTGCTACGGGAAGACTGAAGCCATGTGCATCCCAGATCTTGTCGTAGGATCCTCTCATTTTGGTACCTTTCGTTCTCGATATTTCCTCTCACTCTTTGACTCCCTGCCACTTCCCTGCTCCAACCAGTTAGGATCTGAATCTCTCTGGTACAGCGACCATCCTCTTTGTGAAACTAAAGTTCCTGTAATGGAGCAGTTACAGATTGTGACATTTTTGGAACTGAGCCTTAGGGACGAAGGTCTTAATATTGAAATGCTGTCGATCCTTTAATGGAGGGAAGGGAGTGGACAGACCACTTTGTGCTATCCATATCCATCACAATGTGTGCATTCCTTGTTGACTGGACCACAAATTCCTGCATTTTCCTGTATTTGGGAAACTGGAGGATATAGCTTTTAGGAATATTGTCTTACTTACTGACCAAAAAAATGTGTTTACTTTCAGAATAGTCTTCTCGGAGTGAGGGTACAGCTTTGGCAAATGGGGAATGGTGTCCCCAACCATCAGTGATGGTGCACAACCCCTTTCACTGTTTGTCCTGCATCAGCGAATAGTCATCTCCCACCTTGGGTTATACCCCTTGGATAGACCATCCCCCCTCCCCCCCCACAACGTGCTCCACCTCTGTCAGAATGCCCTCCTCAGAAAGACCCCTCCCTTCACTCAGACCCTCCCCCGACCACCTCTCCTCCCGCCAAACTCAGATTCACCTTTCTTCTTTATTTATTCATCAGATCTTGCCCATCCCTAATTGCCCAGAGGGCAGTTAAGAGCCAACTACATTGCAGTGGGTCTGTAGTCACATGTCGGCCAGATCAGGTGAAGATGGCAGTTTCTTTCCCTAAACGACATTAGTGAACTAGATGGGGTTTATTCCCCGTCTCCTGACAATCAGAAATAGTTTCATGGTCATCATTACATTCTTATTCACAGACTTTTATTAAATTCACATTCCACAGTCTGCCGTTGGTGGGATTTGAACCCAGGTCCCCAGAGCATCATCTTGGTCTCTGAATTAATAGTCTAGTTATAATAGCACTAGTCCATCACCTCCCCTCACAGGCATTTCTGTACAGGACAGGAGAATTGAGCAATGTGGACACAATGCGAGGCAGAAGGGAGGGATAGGTTTTAATTGGATAAAGCAGCAGAAATGGAAATCATTGACGTTGTGTTGTGATGGACATGTGTTTGCTTCATGGAATATGGTCACTGCGAACTCCAAACCACTGTTTGAATCAGTTCTTTCAGGTTTGATGTAGTTATTAAGCCAGTGCTGACAGCCAAAAGCAGAACATATTCGAGTTAACATTCATTCAGCTGGTTTTATTTGTCAGTGAAGCCACACACCAAGAAAGACATCATAAACTTGACAGAACCCCACAAACATCGCGAGGGTTCTCCAGTGTCTGGATTGACATCCTAAACTTTGTACAATAACAATGGACAGGAACTCACACACACACAACGGACAGGAATTCACACACAATGGACAGGAATTAACACACACACACACAACAGACAGGAACTCACACACACAACGGACAGGAATTCACTCACACACACACACACACACAACGGACAGGAATTTACACACAATGGACAGGAACTCACACATAGAATGGACAGGAACTCTCTCACACACACACACAACGGACAGGAACTCTCACACACACACGCAATAGACAGGAACTCACACACACAACAGACAGGAATTCACTCACACACACACAACGGACAGGAATTCACACACAATGGACAGGAATTCACACACACACACACACACAACGGACAGGAACTCACACACACACACACAACGGACAGGAACTCACACACAAACACGCAATAGACAGGAACTCACACACACACACGCAACGGACAGGAATTCACACACAATAGACAGGAACTCACACACACACACAATGGACAGGAACACACACACACACACACAATAGACAGGAACTCACACACACAGTGGACAGGAATTCACACACACAACGGACAGGAATTTACACACACACACACAACGGACAGGAATTCACACACAATGGATAGGAATTCAC